CTGCAGGTCAAAAGGACACATGCTGTTATGAACAACAGTCTAAGTGGTTTGACTTTATGGCTGCTTACAGCTGACCACTTTGAGAACTGTTGCAACAGCATACATATAAAGTCAAATTTGGATGACTTGTCACACAAGCTCTAGCAGTCACACTGCTGTATGAGCAGCACTAAAACCTCTATAAAGTACAGGAAATATGGTGTTAAATGAGAGATCAGTGAGGGGAAAGGTGTTTGAGCGTCTTTATACTGGCACATTAAGTAACATTTTGATGGATCGCCTTACCGAAAGAGACATAAAATGATGATGGCGATCGTCAGAGAAATGAGTGACACGCTGTGACCAATGGTGTAACCCACTTTGATAGCGTCGAAGAACTCCTCCTGCAAAAACACTTTTACTTACACTCAGTGAAAGCAGCAAATCTGGATTGAGTTTGGTATTAAACATGTTGCTGCTGGGCAGCAACATGTAGGTGGGCAGGTTTCCAACTCTGGGTGCCATACTGACCGTATCATCATCTGCGGTGCTGTTGGGACTGTATCCACAGTCCATTATGTAGGAATCTATGCTGACTGGGGTCCAACCCTCCTCATTGCAGGTCTTTGACAGGTTACCTAATGAACAGAGGGAATACTGAATATTAATCTTGAAGAAATGGAATTCTTCACTCCTGGTAGCTTTAATGTGTTTCAGTTAAAAGTAATGTGTTTATGTGTGTGATGGGAGAAGAGGTGTATTATCTATGTGTCTAACTACTAAAATACTAAAAGGGAATGGAAGGAATGACTGGAGAGGATCATTCATCCCACCAGCTCTGATATGCTGGGATGATCCCACGCACACACCAAGAGGTTAACAGAGGAGCAGAAAGCTGTTTTTACCAAGTAAAAGGTCAAAGTGCATTAGACTGACACATAAAGAGAGGAGAGGATACAGTCATTTGAGAGGAGCAGAGTGGAGCTTTAAATGTATAGTAGACTAGAGCTCAAAAGGCCACCGTACAGTAGACCTGAGTTCAGTAGAGCTCTGTATAGCAGCGTAGTAACGCAGAGATGAATAGAGCTCTGAAAAGTACTGCAGATTAGAGTTTAGTTGACTATATTAAGGTAAAGCAGACAAGAGCTCAATAATATAGCACAGTAGACTAGAGCTCAGCAGTTCAGACTTGAGTACAGTTCAATAGGGTAGAGCTCAGCAGACTCGTTAGAATAGTGCAGAGTTCAGCAGTCCTAGAGCTCGGTAGAGTAGAAAAGTTCACCAGCAGAGACCCCGCCCTCAGGAAAGGATGAATGTCAACTGAATGTCTGAATACAGTGTAATGCTTATAGACTGTGGTTTGGAGAAAAAAAGGCTCTGGAGGTCCGTGCTGGGCATCGGCGGACCCCCTGCAGAGACGGAGAGAAGAAAAAGGGGAGAGATGAGGAATAAAGGTGGCTGGCTGGGCAGGTATGAACAAGAGGAAGTGGAAGACTAGTATCAATGGGTGGTTTGAATAATAAATAAAATAAACACAACTGAAAGAATGAATAAACAAGTCAGTGGATTTATATTTTTATGCCTTGTCTTGCTCCCTTTTCTGAATTATATTATACACAGCCACGTCTTAGTAAATAACAGCTGTGCATAGTCTAGTTTACAAAAAAGGAAAATGATTATGTAGCACCAGTGGACTAGGTCACTGCCAGTGGTTCCTTTTGGGACTGAACTTCAGTGTAATACAAACTAGATGCTTATATAGCATTAACAAAAAAAACTAAATAACAGTAAATGTATATACTATAACTCATTTATTATTATAAAAGCTGTTTTCTGTAACCAGTACTGTGTGTGAATGGGACATTCAGCCTCAACAGAGAAGAAGGGCAAGAGTAATATTAATTATCATAATTTACATAAATAAATAAATGAACTCTTATGTGGTGCCCCTCCAGACATTTGATGCCGATGTAACTGGCCAGCCCTGCATCAGAGACTGTGAGCGGTACAGCTACACCTGGGCCAGACCTCACCAATGACAGCATGTGAATGTTCATATAATGCAAAACAATGATGTATAGCAGTGCAACAAAGTCAATTAAGGGGGTAATTATGCACTACCATTCACATGATTGTGATTAAACATCTGCATAGGTGATGGCTACATTTGCACCACCCCAGAGCATGCCAGGTGACCTAAATCAAACACACCCACTCACCAGCATTCACTAATGTATAGGTTAAACTGTGGGAAAATGCTTAGTGTGTTTATTTAAATGCCATAGCCCAAGTCAACAGGGCTGCAAAGAGAAAGGAGAAAAAAAAGTACAAAGTTTGAAAACTGAAGAAATTAGATTCTTTTTTGGTTTGTTTTGCACCTCTGTCAGAAAGTGTGGGCAAAGATGAGCTAATAAAGAGGATGCCAGATGGAAGCAACTCAGTTCTCCTCCAATAAACCAATGGTTCTATTCCCCTGTATCAGCAGCAAGAGTCAATAGTGCAAAAGCAGAAACTATCAAAGTTCTGCAAAGTATATTTGATACTAGCCTACTAAACAGACTGCAGTGGTGATGTATTAACATACAGCAGGATGGCTTGATACAGTATATATTGGATATCACTTTTATTGTGTTGGATTGATACTAAAATTACAAATACTAACTGATTCTGTAATATACTATAGTTACACTATAGTTATAGTTACTATAGTTACTTAATGATCTGATAAACAGGATGTATGTACATTCTGTATATGTACAGATCTATATATGAATGTGTTGAAATGCATGTACATATGTTTTTTTGTGTGTGTGTGTATATATATATATTAGTATGTTATTGTGTATATAGTTTTACGCAAACATAAAGTACTTTTTATACATGGACATTATTGCATTATGGAGATGCAGAAATAGACACACTAAACGAGTATTGTATTATTTCTACTGTATAATAGGTGTCTGTGGTCACGAGATGGACTATGAATGAAAGCCTGGGTGGGGGATTATATTATATACTATATGATACTGATGGACTAGTGGTTAGGGTGCAGTACTTTTCCTGGTAGTCTCATGGTTAAGATGCATAGTTATAAACTGAAATAACAGAAATGTCCCTGGTCTGAGTGTACTAAGTTGTCTTAGGCCTTGTGTTGAATTTCATCCTTTTATCTCCTTTTATATAAAACCAGAATAAAAGATTTGGATAGGAAATTGACTCAAAAGCAAAGTATGATGTACAAAAGTATGTCAGAGGAATGGCTCTTCATTCAGCTGAAATCTTTGAAAAGGCATTTAAAGTTCAGATCCTATCTACAGTGCTTATTTCAGAAGTGTATCCTGTGAAAATGCAGACTGTAGACCTACAGAGATCAGATTTTTATATAAGCTCGACATTTACCTAACCACAGGAAGTAAATGCATCGCTGTTCAGATGAGTCACCATTAATTTTTCTGAAACCCCCTCTTACAACATTCATGGGGCATATTTGAGCCAGAAAACCAGCAGGAGAAGCACAGACAGAACTGACCGACTTTTGTGTGAATATGTTCTATGTTATATTGTGCAATATTCATTTGTAGCATTTCCTTATCTCCTTTCCTGTAAATAAAGAATGGAAGCTGCGTGATAGCTACAAAATGAACGTGTGCACTGAACGCTGCTGTAAAAATGTAAACATACATTTGTGTGAGGACATTCCTCACATTTCTTCACCGTGTCAGTACATGTCAGTTTTAAGTATTCTGTTTTTATTCCTATTTATCTCATTTTAATGAACATTCCTTTGTTTGTCTGCATTGTTTACTGTCTGTTTATACTGCTTATTCTGCATTGTTTGCAATGTTTGTTGCTGTCAGTGTTGGTATTAATAGTGCTTATTTTGTTATATTACACACCCTTATGCTAGTTTACTGTTTACTTGCCCCTTGCATGGGGATATGCCGATGTACCAGAGTCAAATCCCTCGTCTGTCCACCACACCTGGCCAATAAAGCTGAGTCTGATTCTGATGTCATTCTACTATCACCATATCACAGCCAGTATCAAATACAAGAGAGTTAGGAAATGACCAGCAAGCCAAAGTCTTATTTGGCATTAAAATGTGGTCTGCTTACAAATACCTGAGCAGCGTACTGCAGAGAAGATGGAGGCTTAGTCTCCTCAAACAACATGACAGGATACAAAGACAAGGATAAGCCTCTGCTGTTTCAGCCCATACCACCGCTGGATTTGCCTTGTTTGAAAAATGCCAGAAGAATGCTTTCATCATCCCCCAAAACATGTCTGCAAGGATTTTCACTGTTGTGTGTGACAGCAAGGAGAGCTCAAACAAGTTAATCGTCGCACCTTGATATCAAGGCTTTCTTAGCTTGGCTTTTCTATCAGTGCTGTATAGTCAAATGCTTTGTCTCCTACTATAATTATACAGTTTTTTGGAGGAGAATGAATATTAACTTATAATAAATAGCACCAGTTCAGCTGAATATTCTGGCATGTAGGTAAAACCCCTGACAGCAGGCACTCTGTGATGCTGAGCCTGCAGAGAAGGTGAGTGGCCCATGTTTTCAAAAGAGATGAATGAGTGGTAAAAAAAAAAAAGTTCATGAGAATGGTAAACCCTATCGCAACTAAATTTATGACTTGGGTCCTGAATCTCTGCGGCGCCATGTTTCGTAATACTTGTTTTTGTGCGTGTGAGGCACATAAAATAAATGGCTCAGGATGAGTCCATAACACAAGTCTTATGCAACTGCTACTGACGCAGTGAATAAATCTGAAACTAAGCTAAACTGAGGTTAAAATACGCTCACACAAAGGGCAACTTCTTAAAAATCGAATGTTTTCCAACCTCTCAAAGTCTGTAACCTACATAAAATGAATAAAGTGAAAAAGCACAATGGTCAAGCTCCACAAACAAGACCCCTCCTGTAAAGCTCACATACCCGTTTCCAGGTATTACCTGTCGACATCAGTAATTTACAATCCTTCTCACATGAGACCAGAGCAGGTTTAACCAGCAGCAGAAACATGCACTGATTTACAGTACTGATTTACTGTATACTTGATATAATTCATATCTGCGCATCACAGGTCTTTTATAATCTGTCCTCTGTTTTTAAGGCCTCTGCTTCATCCTGGTCCCTGCACGGTGAGGGCCTGAAAGCCTTTGACTTCCATCTCTTTTCCCTGGAGTGCTTGTCTCTCTCAGGTCACACTTACTCCCATCTGGGTCACATCACAGCTCCATCACCCCTCTCTCTCTTCTTTATACTGAGCCTTCGCATGTGGCTGATAAATCTTAGGTCTGAGTCCCTCTCATGGCCTGAATATGAATATTAGGCAGGAACCCCCTCACCCTGTCTGATTAAATGTAAAATGTAGCAGCCAATGAAAGTTGAAATCTATAAATTTACGCCTGTTGTTTGGGTGCAGTGAAAAAGTCCTTTACTGACAAGGTACCCTACATGCTACCAAAGGCAGGTACAGCCTGATGAACGGATACACAGGAAGGTCAGAGGGGAACAATTTCAGGAGCTACTGTACAAACGCACAGCTGCTACCTCCTTGTGAGGCTTGGCAAGGATTAAAGGACGAATAGGCATAACATGTCTGACAGATGGATGATACCAGGATGGGAAGTTGTTTATCTTTTGTGACTAAGCTGTGCCATACAGCGCTGCTGTTTTTTTTTTTTGGTTTTTTTTTTTTTTGAGATATGAGAAAG